TCCCCCAGTCGCCTTTCATAAATCAATAGATGAAGCCAAAAAACCTTCAGATAACAGAGCAGTTTATGTAATTCTGTGTTGAAACTCTGCAGCTTACCCCCAAAAACATCATCCTGCAAGAATTATCACCATTATTATATTCTTAAGAATGAAGAAATAATATTAATCATAGTCATAAGGTGAAAAGTATGTTCACACAGCACAAACCTGCCCACACTGACACAGGATTTAGATATGTGTCTTATACAAAAGAGTTATATCTCTAAGACTCAAAAGTCAGCTGTACACACACAAACACACACTTCTCACCTGGAGTCTTTTTCCAGCTTTCCCTCCAATCCCCAGCCGCCTTTTATAAATCCTCTGAAGAAACAGCCACATATAAAAGTTACCTACTGCAGCTTTAAACTGTCTGATAAAATGTTCTTATTTGCAAATTCTTCTGCGGTAGAGATAAAATCATTACAATGTCTTTCTCCTGGTGTAATGGTTCAGTCAGTTCACACAGTAAATAAGAATTTATATAGTTCATACATTCAATATGTAGAATCCCTCTCCTGATTTAATAATATAAATGTCCCTGATTCAAATGTATCCTGCACTCCAGTGGTTCCCTGCCTGGGGGGACGGGACCCCCACTAGGGGTCGCCACACGTTCTTGATTTTAAGGAAAACTTAAAAAAGTACACACAGCAGGCCTATATCTCAGCATTTCATTCCTTTCTGTGAAGAAAACAAAATTAAATTGTGATTTTTAGTAGTAAGATATAAAGTTTGAAGACCTGAACACAGACTATATTCACAGAGAGCCTTCACTCTCTGATAAACAGCCTCGTCCTGCATTAGAGAAGTTAAAACAACCAAAGAGCTGATAGAACAATTAGAAGAAAACACTGAATTTGTCAAAAAAAATAAGCCTATTAAGTTTGTGTGATTGTTGAAATCTAAGATACAAACATACAAAATAATTGTATGAAAAGTTGCTAAAAATATCAGGAAAACTCGTCTCTGATCGATATTCACAGGAAATAATCTGCTCGTTTTACACAAACTTTACTGCAGTTACTGTGTTCACTGTTTGGGTTCATTGTACAGTTTATATTCTGTTGTGTACTGTTATTGTTATGCATCAAATGTAATATAAAATATGCATAAAAAAGAGGGGTCCCTTCAGGAAAAAGGTTGGGGGAACTACTGCTTTACTATTTATTGAGGTATTTATTTCACCAACAGAGGGAGTCAGAGTCCACAAACAGCCTTAAAAATGTGGACATCTAGGGGGAAACTCTGAATGCAGAACTTGTTGTTCTTTTACTTTTACTTGAGAAAAGGGTGTGAACACTTCTCCTCCCACTCCCAAATGCAAAACAGTGCGAGTGAGTAGTGAGATGACAACTTAAAACTATAGAAGAAGCCAAAAAACCTTCAGATAACAGAGCAGTTGATGTAATTATGTGTTCAAACTCTGCTGACACACAGCAGAGGATTCAGACATGTGTCTTATACAAAAGAGTTATATCTCTGCGCCACTAAGACTCAAAAGTCAGCTGTACACACACAAACACACACTTCTCACCTCACCAGGAATCTTTTTCCAGCTTTCCCTCCAATCCCCCAGTCGCCTTTCATAAATCCTCTGAAGAAACATGTGCTGCATTTAAAGATTCCCTTTTTACCGTCTGCCTTTCGTTCTGCAGCTCCCCACCCCTCTATCTCTGCAAACCTACGCTGTCTACTGTGGTTTTTACTCTTTATGTGTCATGCTGGAAGTGGACCTCCTTCTTGACTCCGTTAGGCTGCCAACCTGGCACAAAACTGTATTTCCAGTTTACAAGTCAGGGTTACAACAACACGACAGCATATAAACATTTAACCTCAAAGTGGCTGCAGATGAAGATTAGCCTGTATGGCTGAATCTGGCACAGTTAATTAATGTGTATTCAAACTTTAAATATGTTTAAATATCTTATTTCTGCCACCAGGGGGCTCTCTCACATCAAAACAATAACAAAAGACAATGTTTGATGATGTGGTGAAGCAGCGTGGGATCATGGGAGTTGTTGTCTTCACCACCATTGCAGTCAGTTTCTCTCAGTTAGGATTCCTTCAGTGTTCGTGGTTCAGGAGACTGATGGTAACAGTCAGTGGGATAATGATTTGGGATAATCACCTCCTGGTACTTTGACCTGTCTTTATACTGTTGACAATAATAAAATACTAATGAGTTGCATTCATTTGAACTGTGATTTCACAATGATTTACAGTGAACATTATACAGTAACTAGCTGTGGAAGTAATGTAACTAGTAGTCAGTAGTTTACTGTACATATACAGTCAAATATTTAATAGTGGAAGTAACCAACTGAATATAGAACAAAGCTCAGGAGTTTATAGATGGTTTAATGAGAAAATGTTACTGATTATAGGTTTAATTGATGCTGTAGAAGAAGAGGCCACAGACACAGATAAATCTAGTCTGTCTGCAGTCGATGATTTAATCTGATGACCCAGACTTCATTCATTAAATATGACACATGGCATCATGTGACCGGCTGACACCCAATCATAAATGATGCAAAAGCTGCTCGGCTGTTGCTGGGCGGTTTAACCTGGGGAGGAAAAATCAAACCCATAAAAACAGATTCATAAAAACATCTGTTAAAACATAAAGAAATAAAGTTTTTCTTTGTGAGTTTTTCTGAATAAACAGTCTGACCTCCGCAGCAGCAGAGACTGCTGTTGGCAGATATGGATGACTTCAGTTACATTATTATCTGCTATAACTGAATATAGATGAAGCAGAGTCAGTGGTAAACTGGCTCTCTGTTCAGCAGTTCACTGTAAACTGGATTAGACTAAAGTCTGGTTTTGATCAACAGAAACTGAAGATCCATCTGCTCATCTGTCAAAACCTAAAGTCGAATTACTAGAGTTAGGACGCATGAACAAACTTAACGTAGAAACTGCGTATCACACAAGCAATCAAACATCCCAAAGTCTTAAATAAACTCTCATTTCCCAGCAGGTAGCGTTTCTAACTTTATTCTGTACGGAGTTAAAAAGAACATCTTTATATTCCTCTACAGATGTTTCCTCAGTCTCTTCTGTCTTTAAGTTAAGAGCCCGTCATGGTTTTGCACCATTTCTTGTATGTTTCATGAATAAAAACCAACGGATACAGAGGTGTTTAGCTCTGATGATCCTGATAATCAATAGTGAATATTTGCTGCAATGTTGTTATCAGTTTTTAAACTCTCAAATATCTCTGAAAAGACCCCGACAGAGAGAGAGACAGACAGACAGAGAGAGAGAGAGAGAGAGACAGACAGAGAGAGACAGACAGGACAGACAGAGAGACAGACAGACAG